AATTCTTTTTGTTTTTGATCTGACTAAATTTTTAAAAAATTTCTTTTATTAAATTATTTTTTTTTTGCATAATGAATATAATGTTGTGTTTCAGGTTTATGTTACATGAAATTGTGATCAGTAGCTTCAAAATATACGTAAATTAATAAATATACTTAGATTTGAAGCAAGCATGCATAAATTATATATATAAGATTTTATAAATTAAATATTCTAATTTATATTAATTAAGTGGAACGAACATTTTAAGAATTAATATGTATTAGTTTTAAAATCTTCCCATGTTGCTTTTATATTTTTTATATTAGGATTAGTTTGCAGGTACTTTCATAAATATAATAGATAAATAGATGTTATATTCAATAACGATTTTTTAAAATAACTGAATTATATGTAGAAATTTTTTTTTGACAGGGAGAAGTCCAGTATTTTCTCATCTCAGTATATCCCTTTATGGACTAACAACGATCAGAGCATTTAAAGCTGAAAGTAAATTTATATCTACATTTAATGAGTATCAGGATAAGCACACTGCAACGTGGTTCATCTATTTGACTTTATATCGATTTCTTTATGTATATGGTCACATGATTTGTTTTATAAATGTAATTATTACTGTGATTATTTTCAGTGTTTCAGTTAATTCAGGTGAGTAAATATATTTAATTGTGTATACGTTATAATATAGGTAATTTTGTTTCATAATTGCAATTTTAGATGATGCAGGAGGCCAAATTGGAATTGTTATGAATTATGGAGTATTAATGATTTTGTATTTTCCAGCCCTTATTAGAAGTTCATCTGACATGCAATTTCAGGTATGTTTTCTCAAATCGGATAAATAAGCCAAATGTGAAAACACTTAGTTGTTTGCAATGTTTAATTGAATAGTTTTTCGCTTACGTGGCATTTTATCGATGCCAACAAACTAAATTATTATTCTGAAATCATGTTGCATTGCATAAGAAACTACTGTTGAATCTGCAATTTCTTTATTTTTTCTACTAGCTAACAATACAAAATACATTTGGATATATAAAACGACAGCTTTGATGTTTATTTTAATCTAATTTAATCCAAAAACACAAAAAAACACCATCAAATTTGAACTCGCTAAAGTTATTTTAAGTTTCACAAATTTATAAAAAGAAATTTTCTGAGATAGAGGTGGCTTTCGTTCAGTGGTATTATTTTAGTTTTTCGGAAGTATGTTTTCTATAACATTTCAAATGTAGTATAAAATGAAGGTAAGTAAAATATAAAAAAATCGCTTCATACAAAAATATTTCTCAAATTAATTTTATCATTTTATTTACATTTAATATAACTCTGTATATTATATATTTTTAATAAAATAAGTTTTATTCATTGTGGTATTTAACACAAAGTCAATTTTCCAGATGAACTCGGTAAAACGCATACTAAACTACACCAAATTAAAATCAGAAGCATCGTACGAAAGTACTGCTGATAAACAACCTCCTTCAGATTGGCCACAGAAAGGAGAAATTCATTTTGATAATGTTTCTTTACAATATTCTAATGATAAAAATACGGTTTTAAAGAACTTAAGATTTCGTATTAACTCGGGAGAAAAGGTAAACTACCTGCGGAATCCAAAAATAGTTGCTAGTAATTTCTGTCTGAGAAAATTTGTATCATTCATAAATTGCAGATAGGAATTGTTGGAAGAACAGGAGCTGGAAAAAGTTCTATAATTGCTTCGTTATTTCGCATGAGAGAACCAACAGGAACGATAACCATCGATGGAGTTGACACTAAAGATATTGGTCTTCGGGATCTACGTAGTAAAATATCAATCATTCCTCAAGTATATAGTAACTGATTTAATGAACATATTTTATATTAATTTACTTGCTGTAATAATATTCTTTATATGATTTATTGTGTTAAGTTGTCAGCATACAGTGTTTTAAAAGGCAGGTAGAAAAACCAAACAAAATTTTCAGACAGATTTTCCTATATATGTCAGGACCTCATCCTTTGTGTCCTCGCCTTTCAATTGTGGGTTTGGACATGTTTGTAGTTGAATGGATATATGAAGATTGTAGGATAAAAACAATGATTTTAAATTGATGGAAATTGAAACTTACGCAGTGTTTAAATAAAATAAATTTAAGAATATATTTACAATATTCCTATTCTGTCTATAGAAATCACAAATCTTTTAGAATAATAACTAAGATAACAAATTTGATGTGAATGACCATTTTAATTGTAATGAATATAAATTTAAAAAAAGAAATTGTATTTTTCAATTTTTTCTTTTCCTGAATAATGTATATTTTACAGGATCCAATGTTATTTACCGGTCCGCTTCGAAGAAATATTGATCCTTTTAACGAATATTCAGAAGAAATGATGTGGAAAGCCATAGAAGAGGTTTCAAATAAATCAATATTTTAATATACTCTTTCATTTTTCTTTTGAATTCGTTTTAATCGTTAAATTCAATAATATTGTATTAATTTGTAAATATATGTCAACTTAAGGTTCAATTAAAAGACGTTATCAGTAAGTTGCCTGGGGGATTGGATACACATTTAACAGAAGGAGGACGAAATTTCAGCGTAGGAGAAAGACAGTTAATTTGTCTTGCCAGAACCATACTACGTCAGAACAAAATTCTTGTTATGGACGAAGCAACATCCAATGTAGATAAAAAGTAAGAATTCAAGACATTAAAAAAATTATTTAGTGTTAAGTGCAGTATTAATTAGAGCATAATATGATTTTTGTAGTGAATGCAATTGTTAAGTGTTGTTTGAAACTCTTAGAAATTGTAACAATAAGTTTCTGTTTCAGTTTGCAACTTGTCGTAATTATTGCTAGTTTAATTAATACCAGATTATTTTATATAAAACTGTTCCTATGTTAAGAGTTTAAATCGGGAGTTTAAATTATGTATCACTATTTTTCAATCATATCATAATGAAGTATTTTTTATTGATGAAAATGTAGATTGGCAATTAGATAGTTAGTATTTTTGACACTGATGACGATTATATTGATATGAAGGATATCTATATTTATCCGCTTGATGGAGTAGTTGAAATTTCCGCTAATCGCATTCAGGTCAGGGGCTGTAGTTTAGAATGTGACAAGTTGTCAATCAACATTTGTTCAAAACACGGTCCACACATCTTAGGTTGAAGACTAGCATTAACTTGCTTGCATGTCTGCTTGGTGACAGAGACGATAACAATTTCATAAAATTACTAGTTCTGTGCTAAACAACTTCTCCGTTTATTTACCTAATAAGAAGTAAAACGGCAAAGCCATTTTTGGGATGAAACTATGTCTCGGAGTCTCACTGCACCGTTTTGTAAAAATAAGCTCTAACCGATGAGGAAAATCCTACAGCGGTACTCAACGTCTGGTGTAGATTATGACGAACTTCGTTGCTGTCGTGGTTACAACGGGTTACATTGTCACGGGCCTATCCTTGGCTATAGTAAGCAGGCAAATGTTTGTATCCGAATTGTCACGATGTTGATCTTGTCGTTTTGTACCATGAGAAAAGATGAGGTGAAAAGAATACACGCATAACATGTGTCACACGTTTTCAATATTCGATTTCGCAAAGTTCACATTTCGAAATTTCCAACAAGCAATGCGTGGCCAAATCTCGTACTAGTGCCTGTTTGTAGAAACACTTCGTCATTTTGTATTTTACTCTGATTCGGCTCTCGGTCCCCTGTATAAATACAAATTTGGTTTTTTTTATGTTTGCATGATTTGTGCACTAAATACTCTGTGCCAAATTGCAATTCCTGATAAGTACTCCTTCATACTTCACGATGTCCAGCTGTTGACAACGGCGTGATTTTATGGACAAGTTATAGTCTTGCCAACAAAACACAATAGAAATTACGAAGAATTCAACACATGCATTTAGAGTTGTTTAGTAATATGGTGATGAGACTAATAACGGCGAGTTCGCAGAATAGGAAATTCATTTTTTTGGACTTACATAAAACTATGATATCTGGGAAATTTAATATCTGATTTACAAAAGAAGTAAGTAAAATGATTGGAGGATTTTACTATTTTATTGAAATAAAACATCGCTTCTTTAAAAACGCAGATAAATAGTGAAAAGTAAAAATAAATTTGTGTGTTTTATATAATAAAAAAATTATGTAATCGCCAATTTTAGTAACCGATTAGTTTGTTATAGGATATCTGAACGATTTTATATTAGGTGTTTAATATACTAAATTTAGCTATAGTACATACTTGTATATTAATAAGAAAATTACTCATTGAAACATTATATTGCTAGTTAAAATTAAACTCAGTTTGAAAAATTTGAATATTAATATCTCCTTAAAGACATTGACATTTTTTATATAGATTTCAATTAAACGTAAAAAATACTTAAAACAGAAAAAAAACGAAAGAAATGCGTTTATTTTGAAGAAAAAGCTTTAAATTTTATTTTCCTTTGTTTCGCCTGTCTGTGAAATGTAACACCGATGAGTCATTGTTTACACAGCTGGGTGACCTTGAACACAGCTGGAGTCCGATTTCCCGGGACATTCTCATAGACGTCTCGGGAGGACAAGGGTTTAAAGTAGGGTGACTATAAGCGNATTGACCATTTGTGACATGCTATAACGAGCAAAAATTTAAAAAAACTAATAGGTAGGTTTAAAATTAATAAATACAAATGTATTCTGGCAGTGAATGAGTTAATTTATGCTTTCTATTTGCAAAACTCCTCAACCTTAACACAAAATAAGAAAAAAAGTGAATTTTTAAGAAATTTGCGGGATTTCCAGGGATAAGAAAAATTTCCCGGGTTAAAAAAACAACCGGGATCCCGGGATCCCGGAATCCCGTTTCAGAAACCCTAGTATTTTTCAAATGGATATTAATTAATATTAGACTTTACAATATAATTTATTAATCTATTTCAGTTCCAGATTATTCTTCGTTCTAAAAGTACTTTACTCAACTTTTTTAATGTTTTCCAAGCATTGTCAGCTTGCTGTTAAAAAATTATTTTTTACATATAACCTACTACTTACATGTCCTTTATGTGGAATGGAACGAGTACCATTTCTTTAAGTGTAGTTCACTCGGGTGAATTTATATTTTGTCAAAAACACATCGTTTATCTGTATTCGGAAATTTAATATATTATTGTTGGCGGATTAAATGAAATATAAATTCTGTAGTTATAATCAATCGAAACAAAATACACGATATGTTTATCAATAATCTACAGCCAAACGATTTATTGTATGAAACTTTTTCATAGACACGGAATGATTCCAGAGACAAAGGTATCAAAATTCAAATTTATAGTCGATTTCATTTGTGATATTGAACATATATGTAAGTAAGCAATCTGTTTAAATTACATCAGTGTTCTGCTGTGTGAAGATACCACGTAAATTGTCAAATGCATGTATTTAGTTTCAAGTTTCTTGTTATCTCTGTTTGGTGTAGATGACTTGTCAAGAAATGTCTAGGATTCCGTGTTCATGTCTCTTTCGTGATGCTTGTATTTATCATCGATTTCTATTTGCATGCTGCGTGCAAATTCTCTGAGATTTTTCTTATTTGTAGACCATTATACTTCTGACATATAAAATCGATGTTTAAGCTATGCAGAGAACAAGGTATTCGATCATCGAGTACGTAAAAAAGTGTGTAAAAGTAAGAAAAAAGAATTGATTAGTTTATTATGTTCTAAACATCAAGCACTACAACTTACATGCTATCTATTTATACAAATTTGTGGGTTATGTTATCGGTACTGAAGCTGAAGACAATACCTAATTTAACAATTGCTTTACATGAGATTTACTTTCCTGATTATGAATGAATTAAATTCTGTAATCTGAAAAATAGTTTATTGAAATTTAATTTGCATTTTATCACATAAATAAACGCTATAACACTAAGAAGGCTTTTCTAATTACATTCATTCAAGATTTGTTTAGACATAAATATAAAATAGCTGGATGGTGAAGAACGTAGCTTGACATATATGAAAAACTACACGTTAATTAAAAGTCTATTGAGTATATTTTTTCTCTTAATTGTATATTAATACTAGCTTTTGCCCGTGGCTTCGCTCGCGTTAAGAAGTATTATTATTAATTATGTATAGTTTTTGCGGTCTTACTTTTGTTTAGCGTGTGTAAAAAATTAGGGCCTACAAAACTTCTTTGTACACAATATTCTTAACTAATCTGTCATTAGGCGCTAAAACTATCAAGCTATTGGGTGAACTTACTCGTGAGCAAGCAACATAAAACTGTCCATGAGAAAACATTCTTCAACTTCTCCATTAACGTTCAGATTTTCTTTAGCCATTTTAAAAAGTCTAACCGCCAAAATTTTAAAAAAGTCTAACCGATAAAATCTATACTTAAACCAAACGAAAACAAAACAAATGCCAAATACAAAGCAGAGTCTATAACAAAAACTACTAAACCGAAACAAAGCAAATGCAATCCAAAATATGCCAAGAAAAGAACAGCCAAAATCGTCAAATATAATCCGCTAGAAATATTTAGGTATAGTATGTACTATTAGATACTATTAGATATTAGGCCACTCATCATCGGGTATATGTAACTCAGTGGAAACACAACGATAGCGCGTTTTAAAATACTACTATCGCCATCTATTGTCAACATTTAAAACTATAAATTATTTTGTTCGTCTTATTTTATTCGTTCCATTAGGTACTGATAGGTTCAAACTAATACATTTACATCCTCAATCATCCCTTATTTTATCCCCATGGGGGTTGAATTTATCAAAATCCTATTTAAGCGGACGTCTTCATCATAGTAGCTCCAATCTTTAATTTCAGTTCAATCAGTCGAAAATCTAAGATTTATACAAACTTTCATCCCCTATTTTATCCCCTTAGGGGTGGAATTTATCAAAATCCTTTCTTAGGAGATGCTTACGTCATCGTATCTTTATGCATGCAAAGTCTCAGCCCGATCGGTTTAAAATTCACAAAGTTTCATACAAATTTTCATCCGCTATTTTATCCCCTTGTGGGTAGAATTGATCAAAATCCTTTCTTAGCGGATGCCTACGTCATAACATCTACCTGCATGCCAAATTTCAGCCCGATCCGTCCAGTGGTTTGGGCTGTGCGTTGATAGATCACTATGTCAGTCAGTCAGTCACCTTTGAGTTATATATATTTAGATTTCAACAGTAGATAATGCCTCAATTAATTTCTGTTTTTGTGATAATATAATGTTCTTATTAGCAGAAAGACAACGAAAACGGTTTTACGAAATCAGTACAGTGAGAATTTCTTTCTGCTCTGGCTATATAGCGTGCGACAATTTGATGAAAATGATATATTCTCCTAATGGGATCTTGAATAAGTGATTCAGTTTGTTATGCATCAACGTATATTATAGTATTTTTCAAATGGATATTAATTAATATCAGACTTTACAATATAATTTATTAATCTATTTCAGTTCCAGATTATTCTGCGTTTTAAAAGTACTTTACTCAACTTTTAAAAATCTTTTCTCCGCATTGTCAGTTTGCTGTTGAAAATTATTCTTTACATATAGCGTACTACTTACGAATCCTTTATGTGGAATGGAACGAGTACCATTTCTTGTAAGTGTAATTTACTCGGGCGAATTTATATTTTTTCAAAAACACATCGTTTATCTCTATTCGGAAATTTAATATATTATTGTTGGCGGATTAAATGAAAGATAAATTCTATAGGTATAATCATGTAAGATACTTTCTTGAGATAAAGTATTTTACATGATAAAGTATTATACCTATAGGATTTATCTTTAAGGATTAGTAAGGATTAAGATTTATTTTTAAGAATTAGTAAGAACTAAAATTTATCTTTCATTAGTTGTAGTGTAAATAGTTGTATCTTTCAAGACAAAGTCAATTTCATTTTATACTTTAGTCTGTACTGACAATGGGTTTATTACATTCACAAAAGAAAGTCATTAAAACCTATGGCACAGATTCAGATTTAATTCGACTCTTTTAGGACAATTTCTCGCATTTTGCGTATTGTTCTATGAAAAATATGTGTTCTGTATGTATTGCGATAAAAAACATTACACTTAGTGTAAGATGCAGATGTGTCTGCTCTTATTGACCAGATTGACTTTCTCGTTAGGGATCATAAATAAATAATAGGATTTTGTCACTGCTGTAAATTATTTACAATAGAGTACAATAATGGTAGCATATAATCGTAATGGTAGAGATCTAGATACAGCGTGAAACGTAACATTTCTCATACAATACTTTGCTGGATGTACCAGTGATGTCCATTTACAGATTCTGTGTGCAAGAAAAACAACATTTTATATGCTCTTAACAGCAGTTGAGTTGTTAAATCCAATAAACACTGGTAGCGGTTTGCGCGCTACTGCGTCATGAACGAGTTCTCCACGTTCATTTTAGTCCATTCTCTAAAGTATCAGACATCTATATCCAAATAAGTTTTCCATCGAGAGTTCTTGAAGGCAATTGTTTTGGCCAAATTTCCTCATATTAATTTCCATCAATTCAATTCAATCAAATTTGTTTCAAATGCAGTAAGTCATTTTACAGGAAAAACCTCTACCTTGTTTCCCCGAAAATAAGACAGTGTCTTATATTAATTTTTGCTCTAAAAATGCACTAGGTCTTATTTTCAGGGGGATGTCTTATATTTCTATGAAGACGAATTCACATTTATTGTTGAACAATACGCTAAACAGGTTCGAGAGAACACCTTGCGACACATTCAACTTAACCTTTTTATAGTGTCCATATCGAGCTCGATGACCAATTAGTGCTTACTGAACCGTAGCACTATGCAAATGTGATGTGGCGTGATTCCCAGCCGACCAATTAGCGATCACCAGCGATAACATTATGCAAATCTGTGATTTCCAAGCCATAGTCTTATGCAAATCATGCCGTGTGTCGTAATTGTCTGCTGACCAATCAGTGGCTGTACTTTCAACCATCTGTCGATGACCGTTACGACTAAAAAAAAACTTCGCTAGGTCTTACTTTCAGGGGGAGGTCTTATATTTCGCAATTGAGCAAAATCTGTGCTAGGTCTCATTTTCTGCGGATGTCTTATTTTCGGGGAAACACGGTACTATACATTATTATATCATACTTTGCATTTTTATCTCAAGTTCTACTTTGTTATTTTCAAGTAAATCTTTTCTTTCTATTTTTTTCATACTGATATAAATATATTTTATATATTTTATATGAAGAACTGATTCCTGCATACAAAAAATAATTCGAGAAAAATTCAAATCTTGTACAGTGTTGACAATAGCCCACAGATTAAATACAATTATTGATTCGGATAGAGTCATGGTAAGTTTTTTATGCTTATAATGTAAAACATAAATATATATTTTAATTACATCTTTCAAACTTTTAGGTTCTAGATAATGGAAAACTACAAGAATTTGACACGCCATATACATTACTTAAAAATGTGAATGGTACTTTTTATAATTTGGTAAAGAACACGGGAGTAACTTCAATGAATGAGTTATACAAAATTGCCAAAGAAAAACATTATGTTCAAAAATATATGGAAAGTACGAAACTATAAAACAGCAGATCGTCTTTGTTACATATCAACCCAGTATTAGCAATGTCTACTATTAAATTTGTATTTGATAATTAAACATTTTTTATATAGAATCAGAAGTGTTTTGAGAGATCATTGTTAAAAATATTTAGAATTGTTTATTCCTGAAAAGTAAAACTGAAAAAAATTTAACAATACGAAATGAAGTTAATAGAATATATCAAAATATCTTTTGTTCATAAATGTAATCATAAAATTTATAATCGAGTATTTCTATTTTCATAAATCAAGTAGTAAATATGGATTCTTGAAAAGATTTGCTTTCTGGTTATATACAGAAGTAAAATAAAATTTTTTTGAACCTTTTTGCATTTGTATTATTTTTGTCACTAAAATTTAATCGTTTTTTAAAAATATCTAAAACAGGTAATAAGTAGATATTTATGCACGCTTTTTGCTTGATGAATGATATACCTTTTCCATTTGGAATCAAAAAGAAATGTATGTATATTAAATACCCCAAACATTGATTAATATTTTGGTTTATTTATATAAGATTGCCGAGTTTTTTCTATAAATGCAATTAGTTGAATTAATGTAATCTTTTTATTGAAAAAATTTGTGACATGAAATTAAAAATTAGGTCAAAGAAACTTTTTGAAAAGTTTGTAATATACTTAAAACATTATGAAAACTTGAAAGTTATTTTACGCGAAACGATTGTAATTGATCTATAAATTTTGCCAATGTTACACGTGATATTTTGTATTTTAAAGTTGGTTATTTATCCAACATTCAGACTTCATAAATAATGGAATTATTTCGAAAAATTAATAAGTTTTTTTGGATTATATTAATAACAGGGTAAATTCTTTCTGACTACCACCTCTCACTGAGAATTATTTATTAACTTTATCAAAAGTTTCAAATGTTTCCAACCTGTTCTACAGGAAAATTCTTTGAAATAGTCATTATTTTGAATTCAAAGAATAAGTATCAGTAATACAGTAATATATATATATACAATTAACAAATATATATTATTTATATATACAAACATATACACAATATATATTATAATATTTATATTATATATTATAGATATATAAAGCAATTTATATACAATATAACAAAATAATAAAGTAGATAAAAACAGAAATAATGAAAAACGTACATTTATTTTAGAAATATCACAAATCACTTTTATTATCAGTTATAATGAAATAGCAAAATAAAATTTTTGAAGAGTATGTTTGTATAGTGTAGAGATAAATTATATTAAAAAGTTTTAAATTTAAATCTTATAACATAATCGAGGTAAATTGTTAATAATAATAATAATAGTTATCTCTTCCATGGTAACCACTGGTTGAATTGGGAGAGCTGAGTAATTTTACTGATCCATAGAGCAACATAGAGGCTAGAGCATGCTCCTGGTAGGGGCACCCATGCCAGTAAGGTCTAAGGGCAAGGATGAAGCTAAGAGTGACCATACCCACATTTTTCGGAGAGAATTATCATGGTAGTAACCAGATCAAAATGTGATACTGGCTCGGACGTCGTCCGGGTTAACAAGATCGTAGGTTAGGCAAAGGCTCACATTCGAATAATAGGCCACAGTCTCTCTTGGTTACTGGTGGCAAAGCAGCATGTGCCCAAACATGGCTATGCTCTCGACAGAAGAGAGGTATCAATCCAGCCTTGGTGTTTCTGTGACAATGCATCCACAGACCAAAAAAGCTGGAAAACAATGCCAACAGATGGAATGAACAATAGAAATGAACGAGTTTACCATATGTATTTACTACACCATCACAAGACTTGAAATAAACCTGACAGCATACAGACAACAACTACACCATCGATTTACAAAGCAATATCCTCATTTCATTTTTACCGAACAAAGAGTTGTTGATCAAAGAAGATCAATTATACACACAAAAACCTTTTTCACCAACAACCCGCGAACATATCAAAGAAAAAGTTGTAGATTAAATACGCAAAACAAACAGAAACATTTAACATTAATGAAGATTGCGTAATCTGTCAGGATAATCCAGCAACAAGCATTGATTATAGCCTACACACTACAACTATCACTAGTGATCCTACATACGCTTCGTCATCCACTATTAATAACATAGACATAGATTTAGTTAATATGCTCTTATATATATTTTAGGAAACAATCACTAAATGTACAGGTACAGATCCAACACAAAGACCATGAATACCAAAAATCAACATGACAAAGGTATTAGGAAAAACACTAAATTATGTAAACACTCACTTACTACCATAAAACATTCATTTCATTTCTACACTCTCGCACAATCTCATACATTCATACATTAGTTTGTGCTGGGGCAGTTGCAGTAATGACACACCATGGACTGATAGTACAATCAGAGAATCATTTAGTGATATGAATAATCGCTTCAACAACCGATTAAATGAGTTAAAATCCAAAAGGGCTGAAGAAGTAGCATATGGTCTTTTAGATATTTTTACAATTTTCGGTGCTCCAAGTATTTTACAAAGAGATAATGGCAGTGAATTCGCCAATAACATCATCAAACAAATGTTTAATATGCGGTCCGAGTTAAAAATGGTGCATGGAAAGCCCAGGCACTCACAAAGTCAGGTTTCAGTAGAAAGATGTAATCAAGACGTAGAAAATATGCTTAGTTCTTGGTTGGAAATTAACAATACTAACAAATGGTCGGAAGGATTACGTTTTGTACTACTGATGAAAAATCGAGCGCATCATACTGGTATAAACTGCAGCCCCTATGAGGCCATGTTTGGAGCAAAGTTAAAAGTTGGACTAAAGAATTTTATACCCAACGAATCGTTGTTCAACGTTAATACGGAAGAGGATCTACAGAGACATTTTAAAACTATCAACGAAGTAAGTCAAAGTTGCTCAAACTCTGAAAGTCCGGGTACCGTCCAAGAAAACATTATGAAATATTATCTGATAATGCCACCCTTACATAGCAATATAACTGATGAAGTTCAAAGATCTACATCGTCTTCACGTGAAAAAAATCTAAACCAGGATGTTATTAGTATTACAGAATTGGTGAATGAAGAAGAAACAATCCAAACAATTGATCCAAAAAAAGAAGAAAAAATAAGAAGTGTGTCTAAAACAAGGGCTTTGTTTAATCTTAAAAAGCAAGCAGAAAAAATGATTAATACATCAAATTCCAAATACACAGCAGCTATTGTTGATGATACAGTAAGGATTCGTGTACCTGATGTAGATCGAGCCCGCAGTGATGGAAAAAATATTTTAGGTGTCGTTGTTGCAGTTAAAGATAAAAACCTTTACAAACTGGATACCAAACATGGCATATTAAATCTATTATATTCCAGAAACCAATTTACTGTTTGTAAAGAAAACTTTATTTCTGTTGGAGATATACCGGGTGCAGAAATTTCACTTAGAGAATGTGCAAGAATGTCATCAATTTCTGAAGGCCACAACTATAGTTAATGCTGCTGAAAAATTGGTTGAAAATCTAATAGATGCAAATGCTACTAAAGAAAAAAAAATAATGTAACTCCAAATGTCATGAAAATCTTAATTGCTCAAATAAATAAACTAAAAAGCATTTAATTTTTTATATAATTTATACCAAGAATTGTTAATAATACGGAACTAATAGCAAATGAGAGAAGAGTACCATATGAAGCCATCAAACATTGTTTTATTTAATAAGAAAACAATACTCAGTAAGACAATAAGCAAGCAACAAATTAATTAGTTTAAAACAATATTTTACTCCATGAAATTGTAATCGCTGAAAGAATAATATAGTGTTAAAACTTTACTACGCTACACAATCACATTAGAACGAATACACACAGTAAATGAAAAAGAAAATGGAAACAAAAACTTTACGCAACTTAGAAAAACAAGTTGTTAATAGGTTCAAAAAAGATATTGTATTTTACAAAAGATATGTGGACGATGTATGCATTATATGGAGAAACGGCGAAAGAATACACGAGTTTATACAGGTTATTAACAACACCAACAATGATGGTTTCAAACTGAAACTAGAGCAGAATAGTCACGAAAGAATACATTTTCAAGATATAGACATACAATTAAAAGGAAATTGCATAACAACGAGCATTTACATAAAACCTACGCACAATCCTCTCTACATACCAGCTAATTCGAATAACCCGCATGAATACAAAATGTCATCATTTCAGGCACTCATTAGGAGTGCGTTTACTTATTGCTCCAATATATTGGATAGGAGTAAAGAGATTGACAGAATTAAGAAAGTAGCTACAAATTTGGGTTTCCGCAGAAATACAATTGAAAGGCTAATAAAAAGTTATGAAAGAGGCAAGAGGCTAAGAACAAAAACACATCAATTTAAGATAACAAAATTTACATATAATAAAAACTTCAAGGACATCATGAAGCAAGTTTCAAATAAAAAACGCTCTAAAATTGTTTACAAAAGATGCCCTAATTTATACAGTATTCTTAGAAACGACAAGGACAAGCTTAGGAAAGAAGAAACAGCGGGCGTGTATAAAATTCCCTTTGAAAATTAACAGCTAGGAATTATGAAGGACTATATTGTAGTCAGTAGACGAAATTTGGCTATTAGGCTTAAAGAACACAGATATGACATTAGTAAAAGACATTGTACCACGGTTTTGTCAAATATGGCACAAGCGGAGGCTTCAGTAGTTAAATGGAATGAAGCATCTATTCTCAAGACGTTGCGTTCCCCATCTTTGGCGTTGCAACATGAAAAAATTGAAATTTATAAGAGTAAATTAAGAGACGGCTGTATCAATGCAAGGGATGCTGATGGTTTACCATCAGCATAGAAGTTCCTTGTAAACAAAAGTTAAAACACACAAATTCTTAGTTCCTATCTGCCCTTTATAATGTGATGCTTTTTGATGTATATATTTTTATGAATTTAATCCTTTTGTGCATTTAAACTTTTAGGTTTATTTATTTTTGTTTTTATTTTTATATCNGTGAAATGGAATGAAGCATCTATTCTCAAGACGTTGCGGTCCCCATCTTTGGCGTTGCAACATGAAAAAAATTGAAATTTATAAGAGTAAATTAAGAGACGGCTGTATCAATGCAAGGGATGCTGATGGTTTATTATCGGAATGGAAGTTCCTTGTAAAACAAAAGTTAAAACACACAAATTCTTAGTTTTTATCTGCCCTTTATAATGTGATGCTTTTTGATGTATATATTTTTATGAATTTAATCCTTTTGTGCATTTAAGCTTTTAGGTTTATTTATTTTTGTTTTTATTTTTATATCGCCTTATTTTTTATTATTTATATTAATATAGCGTCAATCTATTTATTATAGTTATTTTGTGTATTGATTGAGTTAATTTATTTTACGTTATAATTTTGAATTTGTAAGGTTCGAAAGATCGGTTTTAACAGAATTTTCAAAGTTCTTCGATAGCCTGTCACCTGATGATGGCCTATTCCATTAGGCTGAAAACGTTTGTGTTTTAATAAATATTTTTCATTGTTATAAGGTATTACGTATTTTATTAAATGTTTAAAAGAAGCTGAGTTGATATTCAATTATCATAAAATTTGTAGTTATAATAAGCAAATATTATAATATAATATAAGGGTTTATCTAATCATCTGAAAACAATTTAAATACGTAATTAATTTAGATGAACCTTTAAATATTTATTATAATCTTCATCACTTACTCTAAACCAGTGTTTCCCGACGTGGGGCCCACGCCCCACAAGGGGGCAATTCGATTGTTAAAAGGGGCAATTTGAAAATGAGTTGTTGACCTTTTTTTTTTTTAAGCACCAGAATTTTTCATCGAGCTATTCGGACTTGAGTAGCTAATATTGGAAGATTAATCGCGGGCCTCATAAATTCAGGTATGACCAACATACGCAGGCCGTATGTTGGTCATGCCTGGTATAGCCACTGTATATGTTAGGGGGCATGAGAATTTTAGAAAGGTTTAGGTGGGGCATAGCACAAAAAACGTTGGGAAACACTGCTCTAAACGCTTCTATTTATGTAGAATAAACCAGACATTCATATTCTAATGAGAAATATTCCGAATCTCTTCATAAAATCTACCATCTGTTTGAATAAATTGAAAATTTATCTCTAGGTATTGAATTTAATAGTGAATAAAAATTTTTATAAAATTCATTATAGATGTAAATGTAATAAACCTCGCCTTTAATTTATAATTTAGATATAAGTTTCCCTTGGAAAAATGGTTTATTTTGTCAAAATTGCTGTAAATCCAAAAGAGAAAAATTACCGTTAATTTTAATTAAAGTTACCTTTTACAAAGATATGGGAGCTACAGTCGAAACTCATACTTAAAAAACATTTTCTTAAACTCAAATATACTTAATAATTTAAACTAAAGAAAAAATATAATTAAATATTCCCTGATTTATTAGCCGACTGTAGCTGCTTTCAGTATTTTAGATTTATAAATGAAAATGTTCGTCAATGTTGTAAAATCGATGTGTCTTCTTTTGTGTATTAATAAATATCTTGATCCAAACATATTTACTTACTGTTGAAGTAAATTTCGAAAAAGAGAAACCAAACATGAAACTGACAGTGAATAATACTACAGTTATGGCCGTAATTTCCATAAGAAGAAGCCAATCCAGATTCATAAATAAACAGGCTGATATAAATAGAGGAGGGAAATATACGTAGAATGAGTAAATCGCTGCTAGATATAAATTTTCTGTTTCGTTCATACACTGAATACAATACCACAAATCCCAATGAAGTACAATAATTCAATAATTTCTTCGATGCGAAATTGTATTCCTTGTACATTAATGGAGGTCAAAGATAGTCTTTGGCTCAGATGTCGTAGTCTTACATATATTTTATAATATAACGCCTCGATAGAAAAAAATATATAGAATATTTGAGTAGATTCAAATATTATAATTAGTATTATATTCACGTCACAGAAGGCGATTTCAACAATTCATTTTTCAGTAAAGGAAGGGTATACGAAAATCTCAAAAAAAATTACGGCTGTGATTGTGGTAAAGAATTACAAACAAGAAAATATCAGAAATATATTTTTGATTCCCTTCATTTGTGTGACTTGACTTTCAAATGCACTCTTTTCGCTTGGCAAGTGCAATATTTTTTTTTTTCAAATAGTTGAATTGAATGCTGTAAAATAATAGAAACAATGACTTAACCAATGTAACAGCGTGTTTCTGCTTCTGTAACACGAATGTCCAACTACTACACAAGACATTTTCTTTGACGATGGTGGCGGAAAACAGTAACACATTTGTGGGTAGCCTGAGGTAGGACTAAGTCGTACCTCGTTTTGATAGGCAACAGTTTGGTGAGAACTGCCCACTGATCAGTGGATGGCTTGTTTATGGTTTTCTATCCCGTAAAGTCGGGATTCTTTTGTCAGGTCGAGTGAAGGAGGTGAGAGGGGTCGCCGGTAAAGTGTGAGCGATACTCGAAGTAAAGACGACTTTTAACAACAAAACAACATTTATTGATATAACATATTATCCTAACAAACAGGAATAAACTATTCGAGCGTAATTCGAAGTGACCGCGCCGAGAGAGAGTTTACAATATTTAGTCATACCTTCGGTTGATTCGTATTAGTTTCCTAGGGTTGGCGATTCATGTCTGGCAAGGTCCGGAACGTCTTCTCGGGGCGAGGTAAGGCGTGGACGACTTGGCTCGTGTCAGGCGACGTCGACCCCCCCTGTCGGTTCTCACCTCTCGTTTATACCCTCTGGTCTCGTGATCGTTTTTCTCTAAATACAGAATTTTTTGAGTAAGGTCCGGGTAATTCAGTTGCGGGTTCCGTTGGGAAAGGAAGTTACTCCGGGGACGGAAAGATGAACATTCTCCCTCGAAAAATTTCGAAAAACAAAAAGGGAAAATGGAGGGTTTTTTTGTTAATACTATTTTATAGTTAATATTATGATTCTGTTGATTTATTTAATTGTTCTTGATTCAGGCCGCTTTTCACACATTGAACCACCAGAACTTTTTTATAACGTTGACATAAATACCAAAAAGTGTGCTGATGTAAAGTTTAGTGTCGACTGGACGATTATTCACATGCACATCCATTCATCAGAGCTGATAAGGTGTTTTGTGTCAGGTACTGCATGTACAGTACCTGAATACCAAACACCTTATCAGCTCTGATCAATGGATAAATGAAGTGTTAAGTGTTTCTTCAGGAGAAACGGTCATCTGCGATTGAATATCGTGGGATATTTATTAATCATTAAAAATTGCTTAATGTATAAATACGACGACCGGTCTTCACGAAATTTAGTTAAGATTATTCTATATTTCTGAACGTGTTACTTGTAATAGATTGAAGTAATGGGAATGAGTCTTAATGTTAATATATAAATACAGATGTATAGTACCTGTACAATTTCCATAATATTACCTGAATACAAAATAGATAAGTTTTAATGGAATAACTGAACACGGCGTTGTATATAATTAATATAAGGACTATAAATTACCAATATTTTCATTAGGTTTTATGAAATATTGACACTGTAGTAATAGAGAAGAGTAGTGCGTTTAATAAACAATATGATGGATGTATTAAATTGCAGTTTTATAAGTTGTGTACAAGTCTATCTTTCGAATAATATTCGTTGATAATATACAGGTAAAGAATTCACTTAAAATTTTTCTATGTACCGTATTTCTTCGATTCGCCATCGATTGTAATAATGCATCTTAATTTCAGTAGCACAAACAAAAAGAAATTTATATAAATAAAATGCTGCAATTTCTCTTACAAATGTTTTTATTATGATAAAATTTAATTTACGATAATTTATATGTTTATAATTAATGTGTGTAATTATTAAACATATTCAAGAAAATAGCCTAAAAAGCTTATCAATTTGACGATTACATCTAATAAACTAGAAATAAGTGAAACAACTACTTGCTACAATTGCTACAACTACTTGCTAATTGTGCTAATTGCTACAAGTTATAATTTAAATAATATTTTCGTCTATAAATTTTTGAATGATTTCTAGTCCCATATTAAAAATAAGTACAGTAACGCTATTAAAACTACCCTAGTGTAAACCCATAGTATTAAAGTTACACATTATAAAGCTTTTTTTGATTCGTAATCGTTTATGCAAACTGCTGTTGTAGAAGTTCTGCAATCAACTCTTTGTAAACGCAATGTTCTTTTAACGGAAAATGTCAGTAGCCAGGTAAGATTTCCGGACACATTCACTTCAAAAAATCAAATTTGAAGCCAATTAAATTAACGAAAAATGTCGTAGATGAAAAGAATGGTAAAGCATTACATTCTTGACAACAAATACAAATAACAATATTGTAAATACTGAAATTGAAATGTAAATATCGAACAGATCTTACATTTAAACAAAAATTCTATTCTGAATTTTTATATTTCTATTTTCATTAATATAGGAAAAAAAAAAATAATTCTGTAGCAATGTAATTATATTTCTTTCTCGAACATCTACTGCAATAACAAATAAAATCACCCACGTAATTATCATACAAATGCTGACAATTATAAACTTTGTTGATGATGATATATTTATAAATACTAAATTTTTAATTATAACAACTCAACTAATAACAATATGCTTTTCCAAAAAAAATTACATTAATAAGCACTTTAAATTAAATTTTGTTATCTGTAAACCCAATAAAAACCGTTATTCCATTTACGTACACACACATTTTGCGGAAATTTTACATTGATACAATAAGAAATAATCATATTCGAATAAACTTTACACTATATTCTCCTTTAGATTTCACTTTTTTCCAAGGAAACTTTTGATTTCAAAAATATAAATCAACCAAAAAGTAAATATTATTCACAAGGTTTCTGTCACAGGTAATAAATTTGTCTTCAAATTTCCTGGCATCTGTTCCTTCGTCGCTCACAAAGTAACTCAGTTGATGTGAAAACTCGATATCGGGTTCGACAATTTCAGCGAGAGAAAAAAAAGCAAAGAAACGAATTGACCAATATTTTTCTAGATAAAACTTCGTTTGCAGGTCTGCTACTCCCTCTGAATTGCATACGGTGTCAAACGAAAAATGCTCGTTGTCGAAATTGTTAATATACCCGTATACGTACATTGGAAAACGTTCGCCAAGCTTCACAGGAAATCGAAGAGCCGTGACGTAACAATCTTCCCTCACAATTACTTCGCTGCTAAAATATATGTAACCTTTCATCTCTGTGATTGAGACCATACAAGGTCTTCCAAGATTTATGTACGAGAACAAGCTATAATAATTTATTTTGTTTCTGGTTTTTGTTTCTCGACTGAAGTAACTGGGATACAAGAAATAATAATTATACTTAGAAGCATTCCAGATATGACTCTTTTCTACTTCGTTTAACAAGTTCATTGTAAAAACACAAGATTGCAATTCGTCTTTATTCATGGCAAGAAATCTGACTTTTCCAATAAATGGCTCCATAACATTTCTTATTGCATTCCTTTCCGATTCTTCATTCATCGAAAGAAAGCAGCATGCACCCAATTTTCTTTTAACTTCTTCTATGCTCCAATAATACACGGCTCGGAGTAAACGCAATTCTCTGACAGATTTATATATCGCTCGAGATAGCAATCTATCAATTGTTGCAATTTTACAGCACATAAATTCGTCTGTTTTAAGTAGTCTTTCTCCGTGATGATCGAAAGCTAGCCAACAATAATAAGTTATGGTTAGATCATCGATCTCACGTGCAAAATCGTGGATTGCGCAGACGGTATGCAGATTTATTTTTCGAATGATAAATGATTTGCATTTCTTTCTTAAATTGTCTAACTCGTATCTTAAACTCACATGATACAGATCGAATGCGTGTGTAAAAGATGTCAATCCGGGATCGTCCGTCTGTAAGTAACTTTTTAAAATACAAATTATAATTTATGACAATGTATTAAAATTAAATGAAAGGTAAGTATCGTAAAAACTTACGTAACGAATTGCCTGATGGTCTCGATTGAATAAGGCATAAACAGTACTTTAGAATTTTCAAAATGTGTGATGAGAAGTTCTAAATGCCTGTTTAGAACTTTATTTAACTGAGCTTCTAATATAATAATTTCTTCGTTTTTTTCGTTTTGAATTCGTATCTCACCCGAAGAAACCCTAAACAACAAAAAAGTAATTATTATTACTTTCAAACAAACATGTCTGTTGTACGGTACGGTAGTTGTAGTATTTCCGACAATGGTGTATGAACAATAAATGCATGACTAGTAGCTATTTTTAAAATATTAAAGTTTTTGTATTAGCTTATCATCTTCGGTTTTTATGATTCCGCGATAATCATGTTTTATTTCCTTGGAGCTATCATCTGTCCCTGGAAACGCTGCATTTTTTAAAAGAAAAGATATCTCTATTATATGAATAGGAAAGTATTTCGGGATATGATAATACGAAAAGTTTAATATCTATTTTTAAAATATTAAAGTTTTTGTATTAGCTTATCATCTTCGGTTTTGATGGTTCCGCGATAATCATGTTTTATTTCCTAAGAGCTACTGTCCCTGGAAACGCTGCATTTTTTAAAAGAAAAGATATCTCTATTGACGCCCGGTCTTCACGAAATTTAGTTAAGATTATTCTATATTTCTGAACGTGTTACTTGTAATAGATTGAAGTAATGGGAATGAGTCTTAATGTTAATATATAAATACAGATGTATAGTACCTGTACANAACAAAAGAAATATATTGAAAAATATAAAAACAATAAAAAATTATACTTCAGAAGTTAATTTAGTATCAAAAACGTAAAATATTTGAGTAGCCCAAGACATAGCCAAAGATTGCAGCGCCACAGCACTAGCGAAAATTTAAACTTGCAGACTGAAATTCTTTCGGATGATTGACGTTTCGGATGATTGTCTTTCGGATGATTGTCTTTCGGATAATCGACGCTCTACTGTAATTGATTTTTCTATAACCTATCGTATTCTGCATCTCTACGCTTATAGGTTATTGTATACTGTACTGTTATAACTGATAATAGTAGTTTCAAACTGCGATTTCCTGGAATTTTCTATTATTTTGTTATACAAGACTAAAGCTTGAAAGTAAAAAAATCATTATGCTAACATAATATTAAATCAATCAACATTCATTGAAAAAAGTGATTAAAGAAGTTCTTTAAGAGGGAGAAGCTGATGATTTTTTTTACACAAAAATATACGAAATTTTACTTTTACATAAGAATAAACAATTACATGTTACTTTCAGTAACAGATAATAAAATCTTCAGGTCTTCTTTTTATGAACATTTATTTGGTATGTTTAAAATAAACAGACATCGACGCTCTGTAATTAAGTGAAAATTAAATTTTGTTTTCGTATATTCACACGAAGCATAATTACAAGTTTACATTACAAACTGAAGAAAAAAGAAGTTTTTAACTGATGAGTTATTAGTTAAAAGCCTATCTAGCGCGTCGAGTCGAATTGCTTGTGGCTATTTCATGCCGGGTGGCATCATGTGGTTCCTCGTCGCTTATAAGGGAAAGCAGTGTATATCGTATCATTGTCATACTTATATATTCATTCTGAACATGACTTCTCTCGCTTTGTGGACCGATAAGTAATAAACCGGTGGCATAAGTGAATTTCTCTGTAATGTTATTTGGTACTTTCATGTAAAACTTGTGATCATTGAACAAATAACGTTTATAAAGTGCTGTTTTAACACGTATTAGGTTTATTGTTTTAAATGAAACATTTTTATTGTGTGTATAATGTTTATTAAACATGCTTCATTAAAACAGAATTAAAAGAAAACGCTTAAAGTTCTTAATGTAAATAACTACCAACAAAATATATTGTATAATTATTGGCATCAAATTAATCTTAACCAAATCTTTGTACAAAATGTAATTAATTAATTCATTCGTTTATCTGCCTTAAACAAATAAATAGCACTTTTATATTTTAGAATTCAACGTCCCACCTACTAGTTGATGGAACTGAGGGATCCGCGATTTACATGTCGAGAAACACTTAACTATTCGAATTACATCTTGTAGAAAAAAAATGAGTATTAACCATCGGTATATTAAAAAATGAACACAGCTTATTAACTGAAACTTTAAACACCGAAAATAATTTCACCAAGAAAAGGAAAATTGCATAATATCAAAAATGTCAATGTCCTTAAAGAGTTAAATTCTTTGAACTCTAAAAGTGGAAGTGTCTATTTCTCGAGTTCGAACATTGTAAACAGACGGTTATTTACAGAAGGGAATGAGCTTTTTGTGAAGTTTTGTTAAATCATTAAGACAGTTGAAACTTTTGTTAATTAAATACTTTTAGAGTAAATATTCTGAGTATGTTCATTTGACTCGAACATATGTGATGAAATAAGTAAAAATAACAGACAGAAAATTAACTTATGTCATTTATCACGTTATTTTTTTAAGCTCTCGACAGCAGTACAGCATCGCTTTCTCTCTTAATTTTTCTTATAAAAGAGACGCATACGATAGTCAATTGCAAAACAGGTAAAATTATTTTGCGCCCACACATTTAGTAACACTATAAACAGAAAACAATACAACTACTTACCGACTTTGCACCTCTGGAACCGCCATTTCTTCGGCTCGTTTCCGCACTGAACTCTCGAGTTGACATCGAAGAACGGATACAGCACGCGCTTAAATGTAGAAATGAATCATCACGGTAATTGGCTGGTTATGCCACATGACTTTGACGTCACCTCCTCTACGCAAAAGCACTTAATTTTTTAATTGCATTACTTGTATATTTTGTATATCCGACATTAAAATTGGCTTTATACGTGTATTTATTGTGATCTCACATATACGTATCTAAGAAATTAGCATATAATTAAGAGGACTATTACGTGCTTACGAGTAACAGCATGACGTTGAAGTCACTTCACAATCAATTAAAGTCTTTATAATTTACATTGTTGACCATGTGGCTAGTGGTGGGGTCTTTGAGTGTTAGTTTCATATTGACATGGTTGTTGTTTCGCGCCCCTTTGGAGCAAATGTGGTTTTCTTTCTACACTGTAATTTTTTAATTTGTTATATTGTTAGGTAGAAAAACTGAAAATAGTACGCAATGAATAAATAGCAAGGTTGGAAATTATATTACTCTTTTCAAATTTAAAACTTTCACAGTACAGTAGACCTTACTTTAAACGATTCGTATAATACGGCGAAAAAATTGCGTTTCGTATTCGTATAAACACGAGAAAAGAAATTCGTAAAATACGGTAAAACGTCATAGCCGACTCGTGTTTCGACAGGATTGGTCGAATCTAGTCCAATAGCGAATATTACACAAACCGTTGAGTTTAAACGAGCAGCGGACCTACTAAAAAACCATTTATTATTTAACGGCCATAAAAATTATATCTATATCAATGGTGTCTCCAAAGTTCAGCGAATTTTTCACAGAAAAATAACTTTTCAGAGAAGTCGAGCCCGCCGTTCGATGCGATGCTCCACAACGAAAACAAGCTTAAGCAATGGCGTCGTCGAACGGTGAACACTCGGTAAGTAATTCTACAATTTCTTGTTTATAGCATAGTTTATATAGATTATTCCCAAAAAAATTATACGTGTTTTAGAAATGTTGAGTGAAATTAGTCTAGAATCGATTCATTTTATGGAAGAAAACCTTTCAAACAGCTGTAGATCCGAAACTGCACACGTGCCGGGCTGTGATTGGCTCATATATTTAAGTGATCGTAAAACACGGAATTTATATAAAACGGAACGTGTCTACCGTATTATAGGGGGTCTACTGTATTTATATTAATTAAGAATCTCTTTGCTATGTTGTTTCATGTGAAAATTTTAACTGCATTTGTAAGCAAACTTTCGTAAAGAATAATCGCAGTTATATGGTTTCTCTCCCGTATGAATTCGAACATGCCTTACTAGATTGATCTTTTGTGTAAATCTCTGTTTGCAATGGTTGAAGGTAAAAGATTTTTCTCCGGAATAACTGCGGAAAATCCACTTTTACCACATAACTGGCAACAGAAGAACTTTTCTCCTGTGTGAGTTTTCTTATGAATTTCAAAGTGTAACTTTCAAACAGAATTATTGCCAAAATTTCCAAAGGAAAAGTTCCTTTTTTTCGGATTTTGATACAGAAAATCTACGAAATACAAAATACTAAACTTGAATGTTAACGTAAAAATTAATTTGTTTATGTTAATTACTACAAAGAAATGCAGAAAAAGTAACTTTTGCACAGAGCCGTAACTATAGTATGGCCAATGTGGCCTCTGCCATAGGCGCCGATTTAAATAAAGGCGACAACGAGAAGGTTTTGGAATAATATGTATTCGAAATTAATAACACAAAATACGTTTTTATTTACATTTATATTGTATTTATGATCTGTAATTTCAACTAACATTGTGGAGTCTACATTGTTTACAAACCGATTGACCTGGAAAACAGTTGTTATCAGCTATCCCGGGTTGTTCTGATGTACGCCTCAGGGAAATATTGGTTTAAAGCAGGAGGGGCGCTAACTTTTCGCATCTATTCAAATATAACATTAAATTTTCGATTTTTATGCTATTATAATACGGGGGAACCGAAAAGAAGCTACGGAAAAAATTTTACAGCTTGGAGTTTTCCGGGTTTTCTCCTTGCAGATGACACCTAAATAGGGGCCAGCTCCCCATAAAAGTCCTCTTGGAAAGCATACTATTTTCCTTCGTGTATCTTCCGGCCGTCTTATATAAGGCCAGCTCTTCTGTCGCCTCGCGATCTATCTTCTGTCTCTCTTCCCTTCGGTTTAAAAGCAAATAACAATACACTCCTCTATCTGCCCAGGAAAAAAAAAGGTAAGGAGGGAATGGCGCATTTCTTCTGCTTCGTTCGAAAAGGTGAGAGGTAGTGCATTGTATGAACTTATTAGAATCTTAGACTTTTATAGATGTTACTGTTTAGTGAGTTCTTTTCTTTGTCAAATTTAGTAATAAAAAATGTTATATTTTTTAAAAAATTGCTATAATAAAATAAAATGTCTACGAAAAAGAAATAATTTGGCTGGGAAAATATAAAACAAAAAGAAAGACAATTAGAAGAATAAAAAAGAGCAATCTAAAATATTAGCCAAATGGTGCATAAGGGTTAAATCCTAGAATCCCGAACCATGAACAATCAATAGAACACATAAATTGTTATACAACTTGAAAAATTCTAAAAAAAAACAATTAAACTGGACAAAATCTCATTGATAGTGTTGTGCAAAAACAAATAATTGTAGGAGTATCGTATTTAAATCCAAAAATCCAAAACGAATTCATTGTTTTACTAGCATATAAAGTTGGAAATAAAATTATAAATAATATAAAGACAGCAAAATATTTTTAAAAATTACAACATTATAAAGACAACACTAAAACGACATACAATTTTATTTTTATGTTAATCATGTGGGAAAATATTTTACCCAAAATAAATGTTGTAAATAACCAGTTACAGGATAAATCGCAAGACATTTTTCTCTCTTCTGAATTATTAAATGAACTAGTATTTTTTTTCAACATTTTAGACATAATCAGTATTATATTATCATGTTAGAATGCAAACAAAAATGTGAAGATTTGGGAATTGATTCAATACCCAAGATGAAGCGAAAAGGCAAAAGAAAGCTGTTACCTGAAGAAACAGAAGAAAGAACTATACAGTAGAGCCTCGATTATCCGATCCAATTGGAAACTGGGGTTGGTCGAATAATTGAAAAGTCGGATAATCGAAAAGTATGAAAAAATCCATTATTACTGTAGTATATTATTATATCCCATGTAATTAGTATATTAGTATATCGCTATTAATTAACTTCGCGTTGAATTTTCATCAATGTTAAGCCTAACAAAAATTTTTTAAAATAATAATCTATTGTATCGTTAAAAATTAGAAAATTAAGCCTCGTTTAAGTACTGGCTCCCTTTCATGGTCGAATTAGTGTTGCCAGCTAAAACACGTAAAAATAACATTAAAGTAGCCAAGACATAGCCAAATATTGTAGCGCCACATCACTAGCGGACATTTAAAATTTGCCGACTAGTACGGTCGGTTAACCGAGGTGTCGGTTAATCGGGGGTCGGATAATCGAGGCTCTACTGTACTTATATAACGAGTCAGGATGAATTAAAACATTTGTTTTAGGAAGATGTTGACAATATTATATCCTATCTACTTTAAATTTATTTTGTGATTGGTATTCAAAAGATAGTTAATATTGTGAACATTCATCAATCTGTTATGTTAATTATAAACTTTTATTTTTTTTTATGTTTATTACTAAGTAATTATTATTTTTGTTCTGTTACCAGTAACATATCGATAAAGGGTTAACACAAGTACTGTACCATCGCGTTTACAACTATTATGTATTATTAGAGAGGTTGCGGCCGACGTTTTCAACGCGAAGACGTGTACGTCGGACGTTCAGCGCCTCTTTCCTATATGCCTAGAAGTTTGACAATGGTGTTTGGATAGTCACCGGACTCTCATCTTGTGTATGATTCAGACGCAGACTCTAGTTTGTAAGCTCTTGGATAATCGCGAAGTTTTTCGAGGATTACGTATCTTTACCTAAGTGTGTAGTATCGCTTCTCGGCCTTCCTGGCTAAGATCAAATGTGTAGTATGTATATATTTGGCTGGCTTTGTGCCCTTGTCGGGTTACTATTTATTCATTTATTCCTACCTCTTTATATCCCATTCCCTGTAAATATTAAGGAATTTTAATAAAATCATTTATATCTGTTCTTATCAGCTTGATGTTCTTTGCCTAAATTAAGGACCAGACCTGGACTTCGAGCCCCACATTGCTCCCCAGACCTCTGGGTAAGTATATTTTGGTTTTGCTACTTTCTCTGTCCTACACTCTTCTTTCTTCTGCCGGAAGAGCGGCCTGCACAGTTTAAACGCACCGTGTATTCGCTGCTCAACCGGCAACACTGTTCTATCGTCTCCAGCTCTTGTTGGGGACTGTTCGGTGCTCTGCGTGAGCATCCCTTCCGCACTTTCTTCCCCTTCCCGCCCCTTCTTGGTTGGTTGCTTTGCACCCCAGGGGGTTTTCACTACTATTTTTCTTTCTCTCTACACATTTGATTCACGCCACTATGACAGAGCTCACGGTGTTAGTCCCACTGCACCCTCTTCATGGATGCCAGCTTTGTCTTCCAATCCCCCGCGACTACGCGGACCATGCGGGATTGGTAAAGCACCTTAAGCACATCCATGGCACGACCCTCCGTTTTGAGTGCCGCGCTTGCGGATACACACACGACAAAATAAAAGTCATTAAGGCTCACCAGTTGAAAACCGAGGAATGCCGTGTGAGAATAGAGGCTTGCTCGCCTCCGCCACCGCTCCCGGCAGACAGAAAAAAGGTGTGTATCCCCACTAGGCCGAGGAAGCCATATGTACGCAGGAAAAAACGGTCGACTTTATTATCAACCATAGAAAGCGACCACTCCTCTCCTGGCTCCTCACCCCCGTCTACGCCACCCACCCAGGCTAGGCCACGCCGGAAGCGAACTACTACGAACATCCAGGCCATCATGGGCGAAAGCCCGCAGGCAGGATCACCTTCCCGACAGTCAACACCACCTGCAACTAGCACTAACAACGTGCAAACTCCCACCTATGCGCAGGTTCTACGAACAAGCCCTCCTCTGGTAGATGCCCCTTCTAGTCACTGTGACAGCCCTACTCATAGAGATCCGCAGTCACAACCACCGCCATCACCGACCGAGGTAAGTATGGGCTCCCGTACCCCAGCATCACCAAACCTGGGAAGCAATCCGCCACCAGCTTGTTCTCCAACTACCACACAAGCAGCCGACTGTCCCCCTCCACCGAGAAGCAGCCAACGCAGTGCCAAGGACCCTCCATCGTGGACAAAAGCGTGGATCGATTGCTTCAACGCCACATTAGATGAGGACATGCTCGAAGGGGTACTCAGTGACTTTACCAACTTAGCCCACCAGATCTGTAATATCAGAACCCCACCACAGAACAATCAGCACCAACGTCAAGGCCCAGCTAGGCCCAACAACCCCCAGCTTGGGGCCAGCGAAGCCCAACGGCTCTACAAAGCCAACCGCAAACGGGCCTACGACCGCATTATTGGCGGACCCTCTTGTTTCTGCAATGTAGAAGCCGCTACCATCGAATCTCACTATCGAAAAATGTACGAGACGACCCCCTCCAATGTCGCCTCCCCTGTTCCTGTCGACCGTTGCGCCCCACCTGCCACCAACAACCCGTTCGAGGCTCCCTTTACGCCTGATGAAGTGGCACGGCGTATTGCCAGAGGGCACAACACCGCCCCTGGGCCCGACAAATTAAGGTACCTTCATTGGAGACGGATAGACCCCAACGGTCACATTATTTCCTCGATCTTCAATGCTGTTCAGAGGATTGGATACGTCCCACTTAGCTGGAAAGTATCTAACACAATCCTCATTCACAAAAAGGGCGACGTCTCCAACCTAAACAACTGGTGCCCCATCTGCCTGTCGAATACACTCGGCAAACTCTACACGGCGTGCCTTGCCGACAGGCTTCTGTGCTGGTGCACAGTTAACGACCGTCTATCCCCGTCTCAGAAGGGCTTCCTCAATTATCAAGGATGCCTCGAGCATAATTTTGTTCTTCAATCGGTGATTCAAAATGCCAGGAGGTCAAGACAAGATTGTTTTGTCGCCTGGTTAGATATTGCCAATGCCTTTGGCAATATCCCGCACAGCACGCTGTGGGAGTCCCTCGTATGGCATGGCCTCCATCCGGACGCCATAGAGATACTACAGCAACTGTACGAGGGAGCTACAACGCAGGTACGGACTAACACGGGCCTCACAAACCCAATCCGTATGCTGTCTGGGGTGAAACAGGGGTGCCCCATCAGTTCGTTGCTGTTCATCTTAGCCATGGAACCTGCAATTAGAAAAGTCCAACAACTAAACAAGGGCTACTTACTAAACCAGCACTCCATTGACATCCTGGCATATGCTGACGACATTGCGCTCGTCAGCAGGTCTGTGGAAGGCCTACAGTCCCAACTAAATACAATCTCTGAATGGACTAAATGGGCCGGCATCCACTTTAACCATAAGAAATGTGGCACACTCTCAGTCCGGGGTAAATCGCACACCACCAGCAACGACATCTTCTCCATCGATCAACAGGGGCTACCAGTCTTAGGTGACAACGACGCCTACCGACATCTTGGCGTGCCGACTGGGTTTAGCAAGTGCGATACTGAGAAAGCTACTATCGAGGGGATCCTCCAGGCAATTGTGAAATTGCATGCTTCCAAATTGGCACCCTGGCAGAAAGTTGATGCTCTTAACACTTTTATTCTGCCAAAACTGACTTTCGCTCTTACTACGGGTACTACACCTAAGAGCCTTCTTACTAAAATTGACAGAACCACTAAAAGGTGTGTCAAGAAATGGCTTGGCCTGCCACAACGCGCCAGCCTGGAGATTGTACACCTCCCTTACTCGCAGGGCGGTACAAATGTCACACCCACGAATCAATTGGCTGACATTGCCCAGGTAACTCACGCAATGTACAGCTTCGCTCAAAGAGATTGTCAGGTTGCTGATGGATTGCGCAGGTACGTAAACTGATCACTTAATACGCCAGGACGTTCTATCTCTTAGTAAAGGCGTTTGAAGTGGACTGGTCCGATTTGCGCTTTAATAGGGATGAGGAAATCGAGCTGGAGGGACTTACGTGTGCACTCAAGCGTGCTACAGGTTGACATAACTAATCGCTCATCACTACNTTGTCTCTAATTCTAATATTGATAGCATTTTTCATAAGGATATAAGTAATCATAAATGTGTATGTTGTGAGATAATCGTTTTTGGTCAGAGGATTATAATTGTGAGTATATACCGCCCGTTCGGAGAAAAGATGGCCGACACCGATAACACCATTGAAAAGATAATGCAAAAATTTACTGGACAGGCCATTATTATTGGAGGGGACTTTAATGTCCACTCTCCAGTCTGGGAAGACCCATTGCAGGATACTGAGGCCGATGAATTCCTAGATTTTTTAGCAGTGCATGAACTGCATGTGGTTAATGATCCGGCATCGCCTCCAACGTTTTTTGGGCCTAGAGGACAAAGTTGGATCGACTTAACGATGTGTAATAGTGAAGGTCTAAAATAGATAGGTCATTCACCTATTTATTTTAGACCTTTACTATTGGAGGTTAAGGTGGAAAGCTGTTTTAGTGACCATTCGCCGATAAGTTTTAAGATTCAACTCTCACAGGTTGGAGAGAGAATTGAAGGGAAGAAGTTTGATATTAACAGAGCGGACTGGGCAAAGTTTTCGGCCCAGTGTATTAATGAACTCAGTGAAGTAATAAATAGGAATTGCTTGGAAAAGGAGGAGGTACAGGCTAATATAAATAGTGCCATTCAGAAGATTAATGAGATATGTGAGGACTGTATACCACAGAAGAAACAGGGGAGGCATTTGGTTCCGTGGTGGAATGCGGATCTTACCTTCTTGAGGAGGAACAATAACAGGTTAAGAACGAGGTTTCAGCATTGCTGGGATCAGAAGGAAAGGGAAAGGAGGAAAAGGGCGTATCTAAGATTTGAGAAGCATTATAAGCAAAAGATTAAGGATTATAAATTAAATTCCTGGAAAGATTATTGCAAAGAAAATTCAAGTGATCCATGGAGTTTTATATTCAAGCTCAGTACAGGAAAGATAAAATCTAAGACAATAACTACAACAGTCAAGACCCAATGTGGGTACACTAATTCAATGCAGGAAATAATTTCTTACTTTTTGGATCAATTCTTTCCAGAAGACAGCAGGAGTATGGATAACGAGGGACATTGGAAAATCAGAGAAGTGGTAGAGGAGGTATATGAAGAGAGGGAAGACCCTCCTTTTACAGCTGAAGAAGTTAAAGAGAGTATAGATAAAATAAAAGAAAAGAAGGCCCCAGGAGATGATGGCATTGTGATTCAAATAGTNTCCGATTACAAAGGAACCGACGACAATCGGTGAAAGTTGAGATAATCTATTGGGAAGAGAAAGCTGATCTGTTTATTTTAAAGCTGTATAGTCTCTAATTACAGGAAAATAAAGTAAATAAAACATTATAAAGAAAGAAAAGTATCAAAATAACTAATAAAATCATAATTTCTGATAATCGGTGGCCGAGATTTTACGATTTTAAAATAAAAACGGCTGAAGCTATGCACGTTGTACCTACTCAATGCCAGGCATCCAATTATCACTCAGATCGCCATTAGTACCCTCAATGAGGTCGTCAAAAAGCGCATTGGGAGGGCCCCCAACCCGGAGGACCTCTGTCATTACCTTAATGGTACCATGGAAGGTGAGTTCGGTCTTCCATACGCCGACATCACCTCCATGTGGACAAGACTGCGCATTGCCACTAGAAGGCTTCAGAAACGCATTAACATTTCCTGGATTGTAGGACCCGGCGACTTGCCTACTATCATTGCTGGCACCACCACCATTCGAGTCAACGACTGCCAGAAAGTTCTGTGTGGACTCATGAAGCAGCATTTCCTCAACAGACTTCAATCTAAGCCCGATCAAGGAAAGGCTTATGGGGTAACAGCTACCAGTTCGGCAAGCAACCACTTCCTTAACAATGGTAAATATACCAGCTTTGCCGACTGGTACTTCATTCACCGTGCCCGCATGAGCGTTGTGGCCCTCCGTGGCCACAAGCGCTTCGGCAATGATACCAAACAATGCAGACGCTGTGGGCATACTCCTGAGACTCTGGCCCATGTTATTTGTCATTGCCCGCCCAACCTCACTGCGATAACCCACCGCCACAACGCTATCCTTGACAGGCTTGTGGCCGCCTTCAAGCCTGGCGACGCAAAGGTTCTGGTAAACCAATGTGTACCAGGCTTTAACGACAACTGCCGCCCGGACTTGGTCGTCATCCACGAACAGTCCAAATCTGTTACTATCGTGGATGTGACGACCCCTTTCGAGAACGGCCCAACTGCATTTCAACTGGCACGTAAAGAGAAACTTAGAAAATATGATGCAGTTGCCCGCCATTTCCGTCACGAAGGCTATGACACGCACATTAGCGCGTTCATAGTCGGAGCCTTGGGTGGCTACGACCACTCGAACGAAGCCACATTACAACGGCTTGGGATCAGTCGTAGCTACTCAAGGCTAATGAGGAAGCTGATGGTGAGTGATGCGATCAGGTGGAGTGCGGACATCTACAGAAGGCACATCGGAGACCACCGACAGCGAGTACAACAACGATCAGCACCACTCCCGTCCAACAACTACCGAACCCACTTCTCACAAGCTAACAGCCCTTCAGTGCCGTGACTTTCAACAGACAACAGAACCCATGTTCTCATCTAATGCACTACTCTGTATACTACCTGGCTGGCATTCCGAGCCCATGTATATACCGCGTACTCTCAACTTACTATGTAATCTCCTTTTGGCTGGCACTTTGCGCCCATGTAACTCGCGGACTTCTAACCTACCATGTAAACTCCTTTGGCTGGCACTTTGCGCCCATGTAAATCGCGTACTTCTAAATCACATTGTATTTTCCCAGGCTGGCTCTTGTGCCCATGTTAACCGGTCGCACTAGTATCACCTGTACTCTTATCTCTTTGGTTGGCACCTACGCCCATGTAAATATCGGTCTATACTTTGTTAAACACTCTTTTGTAACCTAGTTGGCAATATCACGCCCATGTCGCGTATTATAACTATACTCTCTCAACTACCTTTGTACATATTTATCTTAGATTTTTTAATAAATGCTTTAATATCTTTGGATTCGTATTGATATGTAGAATGTGATGATGTCATCAGTTTGAGTGTGGGGTTAAGATTTCTGCAGCTGCGAAGATTTGAAGTAGTGCAAGTTCGTAAACCAGTCATCCGGACATTGGGGCCGATCTTCCGGAACTGAAAGAAAACGTTTATTGTACACCCTGTGGTGAGTACTGTCTAAAAATTTTGAGGTTATATAACCCGAATTAAGTGGGGTTTAGTGACTTTTTATACCCAGTGTGGGAGGGTTTTGGAGGACTGTATCGGGTCCAATTTTAGTGATTTTTGAAATTTTAAAGTACCCTCTGAAAAAAGATGTTTTTAGCATAGATATTAAAAAATTTGGGAAAGTTCTGTCAATTAGTTATTTTGAAATTTTTGCCTCACTGGAAAAATTTTCAACTTTTGGCGGTAGTTGTCATAGTTACGGCCGGGTTTCCATAGCCTCAATATTCAACATTTGCCGCGGGCGGGAATCTTAAGGCCTCGCTGAAGAAAGGAAGAGTCTGATTTTTTACTCGCTTGTTCTAGGAAAGTGACTGCCTACC